CCCAACAGAAATGAAAACATGTCAATACAAGACTTGTATTTGACCGTTCATGCAGCTTTATTCATAACAGCCAAAAACTGTAAAGAACCCAAAATGGCCATCAATGGTAAATAAACAAGTTATCGTCTATCCATACCAGGGAATACTACTCAGAAATAAAAAGGGACAACTACTGGTAGACACAACAACATAGATGAATCTCATTAGCATTATACTAAGTGAAATAAACCAGGCACAAAAGCTAACATACTGTATAATTCTATTTATATGAAATTTTAGAAAGGGTAAAAGATGACATTCTAGAAATTCATAAAATTCTAAAAAGTGATAGGAAGTAGATCAGTGATTGCCAGAGGTGGGGGTTAAAGGAAGGGAATTGATTGCAAAAGGGCATGAGAGCACTTTTTGGAATGATAAAATAGTCTATATTATGACTGGGGTATTAATCACACAACTGTACACACTTGTTAAAACTCATCGAATTGTAGAGTTAAAATTAATGAATTTTTCTGTATATCAATTATACCTCACAAGAGCCTATTTAAGAAAAGATTCTTCAAAAAGAGTTAAGAGGAAAACTATGAGGAGACAATATTAATAAGTATCGTTATTACCATATTATTACTGAGCATATACCATGTGCCAGGTGCTTAACCTATATGATTATATGTATCTCAAAACTACCATACAAAGTAGGCATTATTATTTCTATTTTCTTTATAGATAACAAGATTGAATAACTAGCTAGTAAGTGCAGAGACAAGATGATTTGAGTCAACCCAGGCCTCTTTCACACAAAGTTGTAATCTCAGAAGAGTTTTACTTTACTGGAGTTCAAAAAGCAAAAAACTGATATATATGTATAGACATGAAGTATGAGTATAATACAAGGTAGGGAGAGTTTAACAGTGTTTATCTACAGGGAACAGGGTATGAGTAGGTACAGAGAAGGTTTCTATGTTATACTTGAAAGGTTTCTGCATTGTTTAAAAACACCTTTTTAAAACAAGCATTTTTACCTTGTAATAAAAACTTATTTTAGGGCTGGCCGAGTGGCGCGATGGTTAAGAACTGGCTTGGGATGCCAGAGGGCCCCGGTTCGGATCCCACATATGAGGGCCAGTGACATTGCCCTCCACAGCTAAGATGCTGAACAACAGCTCAACCTGGAGCTGGGCTGCTGGGAGTAGTCGGCGACGGCGTAGGCAGCAGCCCCTGTAGCAGTGGGTTGCCATGGGCTATCGTATGTAGCAGCAGCCAGTGTGAACGGCCAGCAGCCACCGTGAGCGGCCGTCCAGAGGCCAGCGACTGATCTGCCTCGCCCGGGTAGAGCGCAATGATGGTGCCAATTTGGGCCGTGAGGAGACATCCTCCACAACTAGACTGAAGAACAAAAATGACAGCAACTTGTCTGTTCCCCTTCCCCCAATTCCCCAGCACTGTTCCCATCCCCCAATTCCCCAATAAAAG